TAATTTCTAGATAAATCGATTTATATGCGGGCCCCTCGGAGGGGCAGATCCGGGCGGACCTGGAGGCTGATGACGTAGCCAGCCTCCAGCGCGGTGTCTACTTGCACGCACTCACAGCTTCGGCTCTCTTGGCATATCAACTCTTAGCTTCCTCGTTTACCTTCCACGTTTCCAGCATCCGGTCTGTGACGATTACGTCTACGGCATCGATCGCCTTGTCGAAGTGTTCGACATTGATCGCAGCAGCGATGAGAGTGATTGCTATCAAGAGATGTTGGAAGCTGTCCATTTTGACTGCGACCCGTTGGCGACGAGCTCCAGCGACGACGAGTTCGCCGTGGTCACCGTCGTCCGGGAATATCTCGCAGGCGCATGCAGGGTGGAAGGTCAACCGGCCGGGGGGCGAGAGCTTTCAGTTTACCGAGCTGTTTGAGCGGTTTTGTTCGTACCGTGACGAGAAGAGCTTGGGCGATCGTGGGGGCGCCTAGAATGAGAGACTGTTCATGGTCACGTGGTTTATGGACACCATGGTGTGACTAACTTGAGCAGTGTTGCCTGGTCGCCAAATGAAAATTATAAAAATTCGTAAATTGAATATTGCAATCATCGGAGCTCTAAAAATTGCGTAACTTGGTGTATATACTAAGTAGCCTATGAGCATTCCATTTCAAGAATAATCTATCCGTTTAATTTTCGTGTCATAACCCTTTTAAGAGTTGGCACTGTTTTCATTTAGACCGCGGGCCTCTTACATTTAGGGTGATTAAATGTAAAGGAAGGGCGGGGTCTCCCATGGGACTGCTTTAAAGGGATTTGAAGTCGCCGCTCTGGTTATCGAGCGGTTTATGACTAGTGTGTTTGGAATATGGCTTAGGCCTAAAGAATACCCAATTTCAGTCCTTCCTAACCCGCGTAAACGGCTCGTCATCAACTGGCACAGCGTCAGTCTGGTCGCCAAGTTCTGTGGCAACCTCTGGCCTCAGTGCTTCTGCCTTTTTCTCACTAGCCGTTGGAATCGCCTCAGCGGGGGCAGCGGTGTCTTCTCCATCTGATGGTGCGTCCTCCACGACGATCGTAGCCGTCGATGAGGCGTCGTCATCATCACTGGGGTCGCAGGACGGAGGCGTTGTCTCTGAAAGGAGTCCAGGGTCATTTTTCTTGACACTGGAGGCTCTCTTTGTTGCAGGCGAGTTGCCCTCTATGTGTGTCAAGAAGGTTTCAGTAGAGGAAGTTTGGCCTAAAGCGTCAGCGATCTCGGGGATGTCCATCTGGAGCTTCGAGTGTTCTTCCGCGTCACAAGACACCTTCCGACGAAGCTTGGTTGCGTACGTCGTGACGCAAGTGTAGCGGTGTGTCCATAGATATCACATTTGAAGCAGCTCACCGAGTTGAAACGTGTTGGGCACAGAGGGCGATGGTGGCGATCCCTCCGAATGCGCCACCTGCGGCCAGCACAGGGGGCCGCCTTAGCTCCTCCCACTCCAGCGTCCATGTTGAGGCCAAAAGAGTGGCGCGGCTGGGCCGGGGTCGGCAGCTGGCACATAGATGCATCCGATGGGCCGTCCTCTCAGTTTTCCGAAAGTGGGGAGCTTGAGTCACCCGCTGCAACGCATCCACCGCCACGCGAGACGCTCTGGCTGCTATGGGCGACGCTGCAACTGTGGCGGACAACGCGTCGACAACGGTGCGTCGTTGTGCCAGGGTGCACTTTTGCACGGCAAAATAAAGGGGCGAGCCCCAGCTTGGTGGCGGTGGTGGTGAAAAACTTATTCTACCAAAGGAGAGTTTGCAGGCCAAAATGGCCCTTTACATTGGTGGAGTCCTTAGTCCGGGACCTCGCTGGACAAAGCCGCTACCCGCGCCCGTTGGACTAGAGCCCTTTGAGACTCCAGCCCCGAGCAGTTGAGTAGGGCTGCCTCCCATGCCTCTCTTCTGGGGGAAGGATTAGGGGGAAGGGAAGGGTTCATCTAACATGCCCACACCATGTGAAAGTTATCGGAAACTTCCCCACAGTGACGGCATCGCCCATCAACTTTGGAGTCAAAATATTTCACTATTGCAGGACACAACAGGATGTTGGTCTGCAGGTGCCTCAACGTTCGTTCATCGGCCCTACTCAGGCCCTTGGCAGGGACCGGGTAAAGCCGATGGCGTTCGCAATAGTCTGCTAGGATTTCCCTGAACCGCAGAAGCGTTGGTCTAATCTCTGAGCCGGAAGAGCTTGGGTGAGGTACCAGGTGGGGAAAGCGCTCAGGCGGCCGCGTCCGCAGCCTCGTTACCTCAAAGGCCCTGGTGGCCCGGAGTCCAAACGATGCGTTTAGGTGAGGGGTCCGAATCCATCACGGCTCGCTTTAAAATGTGGTAGGCTAAAGGTGAAACCACGCCCGCTAGGTGGTGCTCACAGGCTCTGCGCGAATCTGTGATGATTAAGGCCCGTTCACACTCTTGCGACCTCTTAAACCTGGGTTCCTTAAAACTTCTTAAACCAGAGAACACACTGGCGCCATCTATTGGGAAGCAGTGTAAACTCGGCGGTCCGGCATATTTTTTTTTATTTCTCGCGCATTATCCTTTCTTTCTTGGCTCGAAAAACTTTTGTCAATGTTATAAACGAGCCTTTCTATGGGTATTACGCATATTTGACCTCGGAAATCCCGCAAAACCTTTGCTCTTGTGAAATGCAGTTCCAGAGTCACAGCATAGATGGCGCCACAATACCAGTGTGTTCCCTTATTTTAAAAACATTTAAGAAGTTTTAAGAGATCTCGTCTCTCTAAAGGCCCGTTCACACTCTTGCGACCGAGTACGACTGAGAGAGACGAGATCTCTTACAACTTCTTAAATGTTTCTAGAATGAGGGAACACACTGACATTGTGGCGCCATCTATGCGGTGACCCTAGAACTGCATTTCACAAAAGCGAAGGTTTTGCGGGATTTCCGAGGTCAAATGTGCGTAATACCCATAGAACGGCTCGTTTATAACATTGACAAAAGCTTTTCGAGCCAAAAAAGAAAGGATATTGCGCGAGAAATAAAAAAAAAAATATGCCGGACCGCCGAGTTTACACTGCTTCCCAATAGATGGCGCCAGTGTGTTCTCTGGTTTAAGAAGTTTTAAGGAACCCAGGTTTAAGAGGTCGCAAGCAGTCGCAAGAGTGTGAACGGGCCTTTAGTCGTACTCGGTCGCAAGAGTGTGAACGGGCCTTTATCTTCGAATTCGGGGCCGAGGTGGCAAGCGCTATAGCTACCTCCTCGGCCTGCGTGGAGTTGAAAGCTCTATAGGAAAGTCTGTTGATGCGTCGGTGGTAACTACGGCGGCCGTATATAAACCAGTGGGCGATGGCCCTGCCACATCAACATGGTACACGCCCTGCTTAGATCCGTATTGGTGTTCGAGAGCCCGAACGCGCGCCTCTCGTCTGCCTTCGTGTGTCTGCGTATCCATGTTGCGCGGGAGTGGAGAAACCCAAAGCTTGTGACGCCACAATTCCGGGAGCCTGCATGTCTCCTCTGGAATGCATTCGTGTTGGATGTGCAAGCGGTCTAGCAGGCGGCGCCCGGAAACCGTCTGCGAGAGTCGCGTGTATAGACCCATCAGAGAAAAAAGCGCCACCTGTCATACGCAACGGCATTTAGTGACAGCCGCCATGCTGCAGGATAGTGCGCGCCGCTGCATACGTTGCGTAGGCCGTCGACACTAGTCAATTCCTCCCCACGATGCCAACGTACTGCTGCGTACCCCTCCGTAAGCAGAGTGGGTATCTGGACAAGTCTGGCATTAAGGTACGTATTCGTAAATGTACTCGTTATCGGTTGACGGGCGTCAGTCTGGTGGGGATGTTCAGCAGCGCAGCCGCGCAAACATTTCCCTACTGAAGTACAGAACGGAACACTAACCGTTCCCACGCTATGCTGCTTGGGTGTTTGAGTCCGGTGTTTTTAATCTCACTTTGTTGCGTTTGGACGTAGAGTTTTCAAGTTTCAGCTAGTTTGAAGAAATCAAAGCGTCAAATACAAATATAATGTTGGTCGTGGTATCGCTTGTGGACGTGACAGCTTCGCGAGCGCCTAGCTTCAGGTATGCACGAGCTCGCGGTGCTTCCAACTTGCGCGTGTACATTGTATGTTAGGTACGCATGAAGCCATACGACCTGACGCTTTAACCTGCCTGTAGCGCACACATCTGTGCAGCGCGTGCTTTATGCAAAGCAACATGCACGCGCTTGCAACTTCTGCTTCACTGCAAAATTTGCTGCTCTACATGTCAACTCCAAAATCTCCCTCTAGAAAAAGGGACTCGACGTATCTAGTAGAAACTTGCGTAGAATGTGTCCTTTACTGGTTGAATTTGCACATTGAAATGTTAAGTCTTAATTCCAAGTACAAAACAACAACAACAAAAAAATATGCCCCCAAAAGGTCAGTTTTTTTATTTGTTTTGAAGTAGAGGTTTAGATTTTTTTGAGTAAATGGGACAAGTATGTACTTGAGGCAAGTTTCAACTTGATACTCAGTTGCTGATTTCTGATGGGCCATTAATTGTAGCTTTGTAACTTTAATTTTGAGACACTCAAAAATAAGTGGCTCAATGTGTCAAGTTCAAACTTACCTCGAATACGTATTTTACTAGTCCCATTTACACAACTTACCTCAAATACATATTTTACTAGTCCCATTGACACATTAAAATTTCAAGTGTCTACTTCAATACAATGAAAATTTAAAATAAAAAAAAAACCTACCCATTTTAAAGCTCAGGTTATATTTTGTATTTAAAGTCTAGACTTAAAATTTTAATCCATAAATCCGACCAGTAAAATATGTATTCGAGGTAAGCCTCTACTCGATACGTCGAGTCCCTGATTTTTGTAGGCGATTCTATGTCGAAACTTTATTTTGAAGTACCCTGTACAGCAACTTGAGGTTTTATTTGTTTTTGTAATATTTATTGTACACAATCTTTGTCATACATGAAACCCGTGATAGCTCTGTACTAACGATGGCTCGTGCGGGTCTACGTATTTGAACACGAAGAAGCAATCTGCAGAAATTTGTGAGGGCCGGGGCGAGCGGTGGCGGATTTCTGGAAGTCGTCTAAATGTAGAAATCCCATAATCCCGCTCAAATCACCCAGCTCAACCAGAGTGGTACTTGCATTTTAATAACATTTAATTTGTATTTGCAGATTTCATTCCATAGATTCGCAAAGAACACTGAGAACTACAAAAGATGGATAGCCGCTATAAAACGAGATGAAGGGAGGCAATTTAAAGTTTCATCAGCTACGAAGGTATGCTCGAGTCATTTCCTTTCTGAAGACTTTCTCCCGAACGTGGCAAGTGGATTGAAGCTACTTTGCGACAATGCTGTACCATCTCTGTTCAGCTTCAAGAAGCCAAAACAGCGGCGCCGTGCTCCTCGGGCAAGAGTACCACCACCCGTTCCTTCGCAACCAAACACTCCTACGGAACACCTCCCTGTAGGAGGTAGCCAGAGTGACAATTTAGAGTCACCAGTCCTCCAAGACCTATCGCCGTCAACTTCAGCTCAGACAGAATGTGCATGCACATGCAACCTTGCAGCAAAAGTTGCCGGCCTTGAAGAAGAACTTGTGAAGCACAAAGAAGAGATAAGAAAACGACAGATAGAAATCAATGCGAGCAGAGCTCTACTGAAAGAGAGAAGCGATCAAGTCCACAAGCTTCGTTGAGACTTGGAACACGTCTCCATCAAGCACAGGAAGCTGCAGGAAGAAAGCCGTGGCTTTGGCATTCAAAAGTTCCAGTCAAGTAATGTCGATATCCAATTCTACACGGGACTCCCATCATACGCCCACTTTCAAGAACTTTTGAAATTTGTTGAACCTGGGAATAAAGGGGAAAATATCATCTATTGGAAGAGTACTGCGACATCAGAAGACGAAAGGAGGGGACGACCTCAGAAACTTTCAATTGAAGATCAGCTGTTTCTTGTCCTTGTAAAGCTGAGGGTAGGACTTTTCCATAAGCACCTGGGTCATCTGTTCAATGTTTCAGAGACCACAGTATCCAGAGTGTTCCTTACTTGGATGAGTTTTCTCTACCTGCGTCTGACTGAACTGCCACTGTGGCTCCCAAGGGACGTCGTAGACACCCTCATGCCAGCCACGTTCAAAGACAAATATCGCTCTACGCGAGTGATCATTGATGCTACTGAGCTGCGGTGCAAGGTATCTAGCTCACTAGTCACACAGTCTGGAACATACTCTTACTACAAGTCGGCAAATACCTTTAAGGGTCTCGTGGGAATATCGCCAAATGGACAACTGACATTTGTCTCAGAACTATTTATGGGCTCAGTCTCGGACCGTGAAGCGGTCGTCAAGAGTGGATTCTTGGAAAGGCCATTTGAGTTGGGAGATGCTGTGATGGCCGACAAAGGCTTCAAGATTCAAGATCTCCTAGAAAAGAAGGGAGTTCTCTTGAACATTCCTCCCTTCCTAACAAAGGGTCAGTTTCCAACTGCAGACGTCCAGGAAACGCAGGACATTGCGTCTCTTCGGATCCATGTGGAACGAAGGATCCAAAGGATTAAGACATTCCACATTCTGGACCGCCCGATAGCCATCTCCCTGGCCCCTATTGCCAATCAGATATGGACGGTCTGCGCCATTCTATCAAACATGCAGTCGCCTCTGATGAGGTACTCTGAGTAACCACGGAGCAAGCAGGACGAAACATCAGAACGGCTGGACAAGAGAACTGTCAGGAGACAGCCAGTCGATACCCTGCCAGAGCTTCAAGAAAGCTCAAACCGCCACGCTACTGGAACTGATAGATGAACTGTTGAAAGTGTTTGAACATTATTTGTATTTCATTTTTACCTTCTTTCTTTTTCACACCACGCCTAAGTTGTTTGCTTTAGTCATTAAGGTAGGGCGGAATGGTGTGTTTCAATATTTTAGCCAGCCTTTCGGTAAGACAAAGAAAGGCAAGCTAATCCAAGGGGATCCATTTCGGCAACATGAATAAAGACGGTTATCAGTTTACATAACCGGCCTCTTCTTTCTGGTTCAAACCACCACACACAACGCTGCCTACCTGTTTCGAGGTGCTATGTTTCCTTGTTTGCAGCTACTAACCCTTGTTCAACTGCAGTTGGAATGTTTTGAATGTTTATTTCCCGACTCAATCGGGCCTGTGTGAAATTTAACCTTTTTAAGTCACTGCGTGTCATTCTCCCGAATTTGTCTGTTTTTGTTACTTTGCTGCTGGGGTAATTGAAGTCCAGGCTGGAGGCAAGGTACTCGTAGCCCTTAGCTTGTCCACATTTCTACATGCAACAAAATCAGCAAACTAAGAAATGGAAACTCAAGAAGGTAGGGCAAGGGTAAGACGGGCTGGGCAGGAGGAAGCAGACGGACCCTGGAGAAGAGGGGGAAACCCCCTTCTCGCTTTAGCGTCGCATCAGCTTCCCCCTCCCCGGCCCGTCTTACCCTCACCCTACCTTCTTGAGTTGCAACGGACTATAGCACTCGCAACAAGCAGATGGCAACTTGTGAGCCATTTAGCCCCCACTGTAAACACCTTGACTTATTTTCTGCCATCACACAGAGATAAAATTAAAAGGCTATGGCATTTCAAATCAAAATTCTCTCACAAAAGCTCGCACTGCATCAAGACATTGCTCTTGAGCCCTCCCAAACATTTTCTTACATGGTAACCTAGATGTATATGTAAATTATGACATTTCACTATTCTCGTGTTCAACATGCCCAAAACACCTCTCCGACTTGGTAGTGTGCATTCTACAAAGGTGAGAAATAAAATCTTAAAATTGCAATAACATCTTTAAATGTGTCGTTTCCTGAGAAGGATTTATGGTAGTGGAGGTATGAAAACTAAAGGAACTTACTGTGAAATGGAGTTTCAGTATGATAATGCTTGTCTGTCTCTAGAGAAAATTTATGACTTGGCTAGGAAGTTCCAAAACTACACAAGTGCTTGCTAAGCCTGTAACTGCTGCAAAAAATAGGGCGTCGCCACTTGATGTGTGTTCCCCAGTAAAGGAGTCTTGGAACTTGTGCCGTGTTTGAACTCCCAACTCCAGTACAGACAAGCGTCGCCACACTGCAGTTCCATTCAACGACGGACCTCCAAAGTTTTCAGTACCTAAAAAATGATGACACAACACTACTACTCTTTGGTGCCTCACTTAAATGGTGTGGATATCTTTATGACGGTACTCGTACATCATGCTGATTTACTGTGCTGCCACCAATTGGACACTCTCGTAATGATTGGTAATACGTAATACTGCCAACTTACGGAACAATAACGCCGTATCTCGAAATATCATTGCAATTTTTAACTTGACTTGCCCTTGTATAAGATCTCAAAAAAAAAAAAAAAATCTACCAATGATGACAATGTCAAATTAAAACTAAAGTGGACCAAGAGGTATGTCATTAAGACTCGGACAAGCTTTTTTCAAATACACAGGGGTGGAGAAAAGACCTAGTTATACAGACCAACATAATAATTGAGAAGGTAAAAATAAATACAATGTTGCAGAAAAGCGAAGCTGTGCCTAGGACAGTTCTTATTGGCCTTTTACATAAAGGGGTACCACAAGCAGATAAGGCTGTTAGCATAAGCTATACGCAAGATTACTCTGCATTTCAAAATACAAAATGAAGTCACTGCACAAAAAGTTCTACATGACTGTGTAGAGCTTGATGTGATAAAATGAGCTTTGCCATAATTACAAAAGAACTGAACTTTCCCGTAAATTGGACAATGACGCCTAGCACTTGACAATGTCACCAAAAGAAGTTGAGATTTCCTCCCCCCACTACCACCTTGGGAAATCAGCGCTTCATACAATTCTGAAAGTCAAATAAATTTTATATTCGGAATACTCAAAAAAGAAATAAAGTAACTACAGGAGAAAGAGAAAAAAAAAAAAAAAAAAAAAAACTGGGAGTCAGTGAAGAATATTCATAGTAACCCTAGACAGGAGAAATCAAAAATTGAACAGAAGCAAAATAAGAATTGACAACAAAAGAACACAAAATGTCCTCGCTAACGTAACAATTCAAGGTGTGGGAGCAGTTGATCAAAATAAAAATCTTGGAGCTCCATGCTCACTGCACTCCAGTCGTCAGGGCAAAAGCGAATTCTTTCTACAAGAATGAACTGGTCACCAAAGACAACAAAGTCGCCCCATTGCAGCCCTGCAATAGCCATCTGCCCAAGCACTTGGTCGTTGTAGTCATATGTACGCCTGAGTTCAGGGCAATCCCCCTTAATCTCAGAACAGAACTTTAAAGTTTTGAGTTCTTCTACAGACTTGTCATAAAGGGTCTTCGGACACTTTACTTCAAGGACTCCATGGGGAGGGACCTCAGTTGGGTCGAATACAATTCTATCCGGTGACGCACCCAACCAGGGTGTCGAAGAATCGACAAAAATGCCGCACGATCCATCAATCGCACTGTGCCCCAAGCTCTGCAGCACATCCATGTACCGCTGGACAGCGATGGGTTCTTGCGTGATGCCATGCCTGTGACAAGAAGGGCAACAGCTCTAAAATCCCTACAAAATACATGATTAGTTGGTCTTTTTGATAACACAATCAATCGAGCACTCGAGAAAGGCCTTAGAAGGCTACCACTGTAATAAGTTCATGAGATTCTGTAGGCCAAATATTTTTCAGTGTGCAACCATCAAAGGAGAAAAGGAGTCGCTGATCCTACATTTTTACCAGAATTCTTTGAGGTTGGTGACTCTATCGCAACCTGTTCTCCGGCGGTTGTGTACTGAAAATGTGTGGCTTACACAAAGTGCACGGTCTGGAAAGCCCACTAAACCTAGTATGACTGGTAAAAATATTTGGTAGAGGCGCTAGCACCTGTCCACAAAACTAGCACTCGCACAGCCTTTTTGTGCAAAGTCTGGCGAGTTCTGCACAAAAAGCTAGAGCAATAAACCCAACTAGTCTGGTTGAAGCGATTTTGGGACCATGATTATTGTAGTATTTTCAACTACTATTGTAGTTGAGGCTCCGTACTGGCTTTGGGGGTGACAGAGTAACAACTTCTTCCACTAGATGGCCATAAAGTGATTTCCGGTGCATGTTACTCCAAAGTAAAGAGCTGCGCTTTTCGTGCGCAAAGCCCTGAGACGATGTGCAAAGAGTAAATGGAGCATGGTATGATGTTTCTTCCGGGATTTTGATATGTGTCCGGTGCTTCAAGAGAAAAACAAGCAAAGTGGCGGATGAAGAGTTGTTGTCTATCGCGTCTACCGTGTCGACCTGTGGTCTGCCTACCTTCCATCAATGAAAAGTGGCCAAGGTAACAAAACTAACAGGTTCTGATTTTGTTACCAGCTTACTTGTGTCAGAAAGAGTTTACAGCATAGTAACAATACTATATTTGCTTTGAATAGACTTGTGACTATCATGTGTTGTTTTAACACAGAGCTTCAATCGGCACTGTACGGAAACTCGGCAATTATCGACAATCGCCGTTGTGTTCGAAACGGCAAGAGTGAGGCAGTGGTTTTAGACTAATATTTTTTAATCGAATATTGAATAGATGCTGTGCCTTTCTCCATGCCTTGCACCACTGCATACTATGCTTAAACAGAAATTCATCTGCACTTGAAAAGGTTGTTCCCACCCTTCTAATTGCCCACTTATGAGCTCTATTAAATTTAACCTAGCTATAGTTATACACTGGCCTCAGACAGTAAAATGCATACATTAGGATGGCAAGTAACTGACAGATTTGACATAAAATTAAACCTATACACGAATTCAACTGTGTGACGTCACGGCGCGGTGGTGGCGTGTCGGACGCACTTCCGGTCTGGGGCTGTGGGCAGAAGTCCCCATGCCCTGCGAAGTTTTAAAAGGAACCAGACAAAAGCCTGCTTTCTCGTCAAAACGCCACGACTAGGGCCATACCAAAAGAGTCGAGGAAGGTTTGAAGGTCAGTTTTCACGTGCTCGGTTCGTCCAAGAATCTGGATATGTGCCGTGAGAAGGGAGAAGCAGACGCCGTCAGACAACAATTGCTTGGGCGGGAAGCACTTTGAGTTGAATTCACGGATACTTGTGGTCATCAGATTTGTTTTGTTCCAACATGAACGCCAGAAAACCGTCAAGTTGTGCGGACCACCTGCAGACTATGTTCAGTCCGTCTTGAAGTTCAAACGGCCGCCTGATCGTTCGAACTGTCGTCTGCTCTTTCAAACGTTTCTGCTTGTCGTCCGCTCTCTTAGACGACGCCGGCCCGTAGACCAAATGTTGGCCCGGTATTTGCGATAATAAGTAAGTGCAGGCCTCAAAGGACTTACGTTTGAAGGTTGGTAAGCAAGCTCGATGTAAGCAGTAGATACAAGGAGATGTTAATCATTGTTACCAGTGACCATCACGGACTTGTTATGCCTAATTCACTTGGTCCGATTCTGCTTGCAATTTTCAGTATCGGCGTCGACCATCTCGGCTGCAGTTCACGCTGTTGCAGCCCAAGCGGCGTCGCGACTGAAAATTGCAAGCGAAATCGCATCATGCGAATCAGGCTTTAGCGTACATACTGCGGCGTCCACGCGGAATGAAGCGCCACATGTCACATTATTCACGCGAAGTTTTGGGGTGTAACGAGCCTCGGTAATTTCGCTGACGCCGCTTAAGTAGTCAGACATCGCCAAGAAAGTCTTATAATCAACAATTCGAACGCGAAAAAGGGCAGGGGGACTCACACTGACGCCGACAAGATCGCATTTCAATGGTTTGTTTATGGGCAACGGGGAGCTTCTTGCCCACACCCCCATCGCGCATGTGCGGCACCGGTGGCGTCCGCGAGGGACACTCCGGTTTGCTTGTAAACATGAGTTGGTGTATAAGGAAGCCCCGCCATACCTAACTGAGGGGATTCATAAATCTTCTTGGGTGACAGTCACACTCATTTGTCATTTAGAAGGTACATGCATACCTTCGGAAGTAGCTTGTTTGAGGGCGTACATTACGTAAGTCGCCCTCTACCTAGCCGAAAACTCTTCCAGGGCGTCATTAAGCACTCCCCGAGGAAGCTTTGGAGAAGCACCAGCTTGGATGGCTACCATCATAAGCGCATGTAATTTGGCAAAAACCGAAATAGCATAAGGTAAAGCAACAATGCCTTTGTGCAACGTGTAGTAGCCGTTCCGAGAACTCAGACTCGAGTTACTACGTTCGGAGCCAAAGGAGCTGCTACTGAACGTGCCCAATAGGTATTATGTTTCATTTTATTTAAGTAATTTTAAGTAACGCCTGCGTAAAGAGGGCATACCGTATCGCAGGAACCCTCGAGAGGTCTCTTGTGCTGGTTAGGTTGTGCAGCCCTTTCTGCGACCAGACCTCACGTGTGGCTGCCACTCCAAAGTTCGACGCCGTTAGTCGAAGCGCAAGTTCTTTGTGCCATCTTGGACTTTTTGCTTGTTGTCTTGTATCTCGTTCAAGGGCCCTTGCTTGAGTCGGTGACAGGCATAGCCCCTGCAGTAGGAATTTTTCAAGAACATTTATTTATTTATTTAAATCAATAAATAAACATACTGAAACACAGTTTGGGGGATTGCATGGCTAGCCAACAAAGAGCATTTGGCACACTCCAATGAGAAATTAGGTATTAATGAGGCCAAAAGAAAGAACTGTGTTTGCAAAGCGGAACCCAACGTTAGGCCGTAAATTCAGACACCAGAAAACCTCTCCCGGTCAACTTCATCTCAACTTACACAAGACTTAGGTTTGAAAAATGCAGGTGTTGACACTAGAATGGCAAAATTGCTTGTGAACGTGCATTAACTGTGCATGCTCTCCAGTGTTGCTAAAGGCAGTGAGCGCGTGCTCAAGGGAAATACGTCATTGGATTCTTGACTTACCAGTGATTAAAGAACAACTCTGCTTAATTTTTTGTTTTTGAAAAAAAAAAACAAAAAAACAATGCAGTCCTCTTCAGTATCACCTAGAAAGGCCAGAGGTCAAATATTGCAATGTAGTTCTGTCTAAAAACTTCTTAAACGGTCCAGAAAAATTCGCAACTCGCCAAGTTGCCAAAATCGGCCGACTGGAGCGAGCGAATTGTGGCGCAACCAACAGCACAGTTAAGGTTACGGCATGGATATAGCCAACATTGAGCTAAATGTCATCACCATTGTCCCCTTTTGCTTGTTTTTATTTCTCCGGGCACGCGTAACGGGTGGCGTAAGCAACAATTCCTCTTGGCACGCCTGCACAGTGGGCTTTTTGGGAACCGTTCAGCCGCCCCGCCGTGGTCCCACCGTTGCCCGCATCAAAACCGCTGTCGTAATCTCACCGTTTCTCATTACTGTGTCTCAGAGTTTCGTCCACACATTGAACACTATGTGTGCAGACTTATGCCGCAGTTGTGCAGACGTCGTCGAATGTCGTAGACACCAAAACATGGCGAAGAGTGCGGTGCAGACGACACTTGTGCCTGGCATACGCCTGCCCCAATCCTGCCCATCGTTCCGTCAAGGATCATGTGACATCTTGTACCACATGATAGCCATGTTTTTGGTGGCCCGAGGCCAATGTTGCCAGACGGAGCTGAAGTTTCGGTTTCGATTTCTGCTCGTGTTCAAAATTAGATTAAAAAAGACACCCATAGTTTGTCGGCAGCATACTGGCGTGGATGGCCACATTTCGCTACTGCCAAGGTAGCGCTCTCATAAAGCGGCTGCGCCGCGCTGAGCTCAGCCGTGCAGCCTGTTTGCCCAAACGGGCTGTGCGGCCAGGCCCGCACCTCTTGCCAGCGGCTGGGTCGCTGCGTGCGCTGCGCTGCCATGGAGAGGGCTTCTCTGATACGGTTTTTGGAACTATGCCGTGCGAGAGCCAATAGGAGGCTTGTTCCTTGACACTCGGACACGCGCCAGCCAAAGGGAGCCTATCAATCAGATCGCGGCTTCAAACGACAGGCTTCGCTTCATTGGGACAAGGGAGTTTAGGTGCTGTTTGGCGCAGCTTTAAAGCTGATGACGTCGGTTTGCTCCATAAGACAGTTAATGCTTTTGCATTAATATATACACAGTTTTTTGTGAAGCAAATGACGTAGCGTCGTTTACTAGAGCTTTTTAATGCAAAATCACTGATTATCCTGAAATCTTCGGAATTGGCGGAGTTGCAGTTAAGTATACAGGAATCATGCTTAATAATTAAGGCGTTTGCTTATGTTAGAACTTTCCAGAGTTGTGTCGGCATTGCTTTTAGCTTTCTTTGTGGGTGTCGGCGTTTTGGAGGGAGCCTTTGCGAGGCCAAAGCGGCCGCAATGCGAGAGCGGTTCCCCCACGGTCGTTAGGAAACGTCTCGGGTTTCGGGAGTCTGCTCGGACAGATCCCTGGAACGGCCCGTTCTTAGAGTTGCTTGTGGCTTTTAGCCGAATGTTCCTGTATATAGAGGGTTTGCCGCGTAGTGTAAAATTGTCACTTTTTACCCAAGGCAATAATTTAGTGGTTGGCGCCAGTCAAACTGGGAAAATTGCAGAGAACAACTCTACGAGGAATTTGGGTTTGACGGTTGGAGCGCCAGGATGACTGCTCGCCGACCATTGGAGAAGAGTGTACCACATGTGAGTGGTAGAATTTGAAGAGATTGGCTGATTCCTGAGGGGAAAGGAGGCCCCTACAGGCCTACAAAAGGAATGCGAAGAGGATTTTGGGGGATTCGGACTTTGGATTTGACGGAGAGAAATTGGGGACGGGGGTCGAGACTTTAGACAAGGCAGGATGGTTTCCCAAGTTGGGAGTAGTAACTAAAAGTGTAAATAAATGCACATAGTTGTCTACAAGCAGTGAGTCGACCCGTCAATCAGCGACGTTTGTGCCACCACGCTCCAGACCATCGGAGCAGAACCTGCCTCCCACACCACCGGGAGGAACAATGAACAACTTTAACTGTTGCCCTTTAAAGGAGAATTAAGAAGGAGACCTCCTGGGGTGGACTTATGGTGGCAACAATATAAAGACCTCGCTTATGAAGAAGCTAACTGTAAGCTGTCAGTTTTTCTTTTTCCGGTTTTTTTTTGTAACGAAAAAAAGTAAACACCCGAAGTACCAATCACAGCTAACACTGAAAATTATTGGAAGCCTTCCAATGGGCTGTGACGAAGCGGCGTAAAGCATGGGTTGCTAATTGTGCTTGAGGTATTCAGTTCATACAAAATCAGATGCACATTATTTTTGTATATTGACCTTCCGTGAAGTATCCTAAAAGCAATGCTGACATTACCTCAAGGATCTTGTGGCCCTCAAAACACGAAGTCGCATCCGAGGGCTCGGCATCCCTGAAGAACTCGTACTCGTGCAGTGGAGGCGGATCGGTGGGGAGCACTCTTGAAGTGAATGTTTGTCACCACCTTGAACCCAAAGGGCAATTGCGCTTGTTGGTACGCCTGTGGCGCAAGGACAGACGAAGTGCCGAACTTTGTTTTCACGAAAACCTGCCTGGTCCCTCCCAGCAAGCTCCTGCCAAACTCGGTGGTTCCATGCAGGTCCATCATGGCTTGAGCGAAGTTCTTGGTGGCGGCATCTTGTTCGCTTTGACTGCGGGGAACAGCTCGGCTTTCGTAGAGGCAACTTGTTGTTGGCGTTTCTAAGCCACCTTCCCGGACACTTCTCCAGTCAACAGACTGTATGGAAGTTCCCCTGATGCGCTCGCCTCTTGGGACCCTCCACTGCTGTGGAAGGTCAGTGCAGGAGAGCTGCACTGGCGCTTCAGAAAAGCCCTTCCTCTGCAGCAGTTCAAGTGTCCGAAGAACCCCCATCAAGTGGTTGCAAGCAGCCTTTCCTGCTGGGCAGCCACAGTGCCCATCTTCAACATTGCCAGTAACGTTGAGGGCAGCCACCACGGTGTACGGACGGTCATTCTTTTTTTTGCTTTGGAAGCATGAAGCTTTCAGGAAGCATATCTCTGCGCTATAGAAAATAAAGAATGTTTAAATGTTATTTTTTTATCAATGGCTAATGCACAATGAAGTAATAAGCAGAGCACATTACAGATTTCTTTTTTTTTGTTTTGCAAATAACTTTGGAAATTAAACGGTTACATCACTTCTGCATCACACATTTTTCGAATATTTTGCTTTGCATCCAACCCTGTGGCAAAGCGCACTACTTCAAAGGCGTTTATGTCACATCGCCGCGAAGCATTTCGTTGCTATGTGTGAATGAGTACAAAGCGCGCCACAGAAATAACAAGCGACCACTAGTTTGTTCCTTTACTTTCCACAGCTGCAAAGGTAAAAGTATTGCAAGCTACTAGTGGGTTTAAAATGTGCTTATCTGAAGCACCGATCAAGGCGATAAATTTCGGCATTCGACCCTACCATGCGCAAGTAAAGATTGCGTTTCATGTTCGCGTGAGCACTCTATGTTAAAGGCTGAATCGCATCTGAGCGATTTGGCGAGCAGCGAGTCGAGTGACGGCACAAGCGACGAAACTCGGCTACGAGTGACGAAAATTTTTCAATGTCGCTTGTCGTGTCGCTTGGTTTGGGATTTCTAGAAAACGACTCTCATCGCCTTGGTCGCTCGCTCGTCGCTTTTATGCAGTGTGCTTCCCGAGCAATAACGAAGCGAGTCCCCTGCGTCTGTTTCGTCGCACATCCGGAGAGTACCGGCGGCCTCTAACTACAGCCCGTAAATTATAACCGGTTCCTATAATTTTCTGATGCATACTAACACATGTCTGATGTCGTAACTACAAAGATCTTAGTAATTACCTTTTTCTTGCGTAGTTGGCCTTTATGGATGCAGCGACCACGAAGCCCTCAACGTGGAAGTTCTTCTGTCGAATTGTCGTTCCGAGTCCGATCGGCTCTTGAAGAAGCGATATACCTCATCATCTTTAACGGCTGGGAGTTGGGAAAGGTCGTTTTCCCAACCCGTGATCGGGAAAATGCTACCTGTAGCCATACAGAGGCGAAGGGATCGACGAAACAAGAACGCTACAGTCAAAACAATTATGCCGGCCGCAACGGAGTCCTTCCCAATGGCGCCGGCCGTCCAATGTTGTTGGACTCGTTCAGCGGATTTTCGCTGTTGCCAGATTTTTTGAAAAGGGTCTATTGCTTCATGAGGTGGGCCTCTTTCAGCTCCTGGTTGGTGTTGAGCACCCCAGCGCCAACAACTTAGCGTTGGATGTAGTCACCGGGAGGTCTAAAGCTCGCTTATTTGCCTTCCTAATAATGGCGTCGATGCATTCGTCGTGTTGCTTCGTAGTGCGAAGCTAGGGTACGGAGTAGAGGATCCTGCTGGTTACGAAGGCATGGACGAGCCGAAGCGCGTCCCCGCTCCGTAACCCCTTGCGTTTGTTAGAAACGCGGTGGATCATACGTCCGACCTGTTTGCCAACACATTTGAGTTTGGAAATGGTGGATTCCGGTCTGAGCCTGTTATGAATAAACAGGCCCAGGATCCGGATCTCCTCGACTTCTCTGATAGGACCTACCGTCAAGGAGATACGTAAACTCAAGTTGTCGTTCTGATTGGCTCTGACAAGTAGAAGTTCCGATTTTGCAGGAGCGCATTGAAGACCACAGCCGATAGCATAGCTAGCGACGATGGAAGCAGCCCGCTGAAGGCGGTCCTCCATTTCCCCAAGGCTCCCTTCGGTGGTCCAAATTGTTATATCATCCGCGTAAAGTGAGTGTTGGATGCCTTCCACCTGGGCCAATAAATGTGTAAGCCACATCATGGCAATATTGAAAAGGAGCGGCGACAAGAACGCTCCTTGGGGAGTGCCCCGTGTGCGCATGGTGTATGGGCCATATTCATCGTCCTCGATCTTGAGCAGGGCTTGACGCTTCGAGAGAAAGTCTCTTAGGTAGGTGAAGGCCTTGTGTCCACAATCCGTGGTGCTCAGGTTTGCCAGAATGCTGCCATGGCGAACGTTGTCAAAGGCCCCCTTAAGATCGAGGGCAAGGATGACGTTATCGTTGTGGCGCATGGCAGTGGGTTGTATTATGTCGTGGTGTATTTGGAGGAGGACGTCCTGTGCAGACATGCGGGCGGAACCCAAACACACTGTCTGCAAAGATGCCCTTAGCCTCCATGTACGGAGAGAGTTAATCCCGGACCATCGTCTCCATAAGTTTCCCCGCACATGAGGTCAGTGAGATGGGCCTCTGGTTGTCTGTATTTACCTTCTTGGCTGGCTTAGGAATGAATGTGACCAGGGAGGTCTTCCAGTCGGGGGGGAGTGGACGCCCATCCCAGGTCTGATTAATGTACTCTAGCAAGTGGAGGTAAGCAGAGTCCGGAAGATTCGTAAGTAGTGTTACTGTTATGCGATCACGGCCCGGAGCCAAACCTCTGCGCACCTGAGCTAAAGCCACCCTAAGGTCGTGCAACGTAAAAGGGGCGTCAATGTCTGGATTAGGCCTTCCCGCGTATTCGTACTCGGGCCCAATCGGGTCCTCTATGTGACGAAGATACCTGTCACACAAGGCGAGTTGAGCTGTCGTGCCTTGGTACCTGTGCAAAGCCCGCCGGAGCTGTCGTTGCGTCTCCCCTCTCGTCTGAGTGGGGTCAATGAGGCTGCGAAAGAGGCGCCACGTCCCTCTCGAGCTCATCTGACTCGCTGCCGAATTACACTTTTCTATCCAATTTGAGTCAGTGAGCTGGGCAGCATACGCTGCAGCCTGCTCCGTGAGTTCGTTAATGCGATCCTTAAGCTTGCGGTTTAGCTTTTGCTTCTTCCACCTTTTGGTAAGACTCCGGCGTGCCTCCCACAGGTGCAGGAGGTGATTATCCACGGCGGGGATCGCTTCGGTAGTCTGAAATGTCGTAACGAGTTGTTGCTGTATTATGTCCAATTGCTTTGCCCACTCCGCATAGCCGCCAGAAAAGAGCACTGGGCCCGTTTGCTCGAAGCTGGTTAACTCTAACCGCGGTTAAAAGTTAACCGCGTTTCCTTACCTAGGTACTTCCGAGTACCTAGCCGCGTTCGACAAAAACTTAAGGCGCAATTTTTCCGTGTTTTATTATTATGCGGTAGCACCTGCCACCTGCCAGTCGAAGCAAACAGCCTTTTAAGAAACTTTTTCGCTAGTTTTGTCTTTATTAAGAAAAATAAAAACATCTTATCAGAGTGTTTTATTTTATGCAGAAAATATATATGTAGTTTAAAAAATAATAAATATCCTGTTTTATCTATTGTGTCGCCAAACACAGCTTAAGTTTGCAGCGTTGAATTCGTATCTGGAAACGGTCTTCAGATTCGTTGTTTTGTTCTCCGTATTTTGCGACGCACGTTTCCCGCGCTTTAGTTATCAGCTGATTATCACTGTTTGTCTTCTCTGCCGTTTGCCCAACCGACCCTCCTACTCGCCCGCCGACTGACTACCGGACTGACTGACAACTGATTTGCGGACAGATTGGCGAAGATAAGGGACGCAATGTCGACTGTGACGCGACGCCGACATCGATGAGAGCGCGTGTTCGCCCAGTACGCTGTTGTGATGATGGGACGGCAGCGTGTGTTCCGTGACCGCTTGAACCCTCTGGAGGAGTTGGAGGAGCATCGACGAGGACGAACTGCAGGAGCGCTTTCAATTCGGTCGTGCGGGCATTGTGTTCCTCGCCGACACACTGCGCCCGGACTTGGAGCGGCCGACGTGTCGCAGCCGTGCCCTCTCTGCAGAGCAGCAGGTCATTGTCGCCCTACAGTTCTACGCCACGGGGAACTTCCTCATTACCGCAGGGGACTACATGCGTGTGCACGTCTCCACTGCTTCGCGGACTGTGAGGCGGGTGACTCTGGGCTTGGCACGTCGTGCCCGAGACTTCATGGGGTAAGTGGTCTAGCTGGAGCATCTCCTGGCGCGTCCCGATACTGGGCACATGTGCAGGCTAGTTTTCCGAGAAAAAATGCCTGGGCCTAGATTGCTCGATGAGCAATCACCATTATTTCAGAAACCCTTTGTATAGAAATTTTGGTGCGTGAATTGTGTTCGCTGAAACACCTTCATTTGTTGAAGGTGGTCTTCTGAGCACACCTATTCTGCAACTTATTTACGGCACACCACCTGCGTAATGACCCTTTTGTTTTTGTTTCCTTAGCTGTAGGCTTGCTAGCCTGAATATCTGCCAGCACATTGATCCCCACGTATTCTGGTGCCTCCCTAAAGAAACATTAAAAGTGTTGCTTCAGCACTCGATATTGGTTCTTTGGTTATGAGCGTGACATCCAGACCAATGAACTGGGCAGTAAAATTACACAAACCAACTGGAGTGTACAAAATGACTCCCTTAGTACCTATTATTGGTGCAGGTGCAAATTCAACTAAACTACAAATAAAGTAGGAGTCATAGTTGGACGTGAGCGCGTTGGTTTTGATAACCATTTGCAAACAGCCTGGTTTCTGCACTTCCAACTATGCAGTTGGTGCTATTGAGCTAGTCTTGCGGCTACTGAGTACTGTCATTGTCCAGACAAGATTTTTATTGCTCACTATTGATGAAGATGAATGATAGCTATGTTATTTTTAAGCATGTTATCATAACAACAAAATCATCACTGTTAGTGTCATAGTGCTACAGATTGACTCAAATCCATCTACAATGCAGGTGGCCAGGTGAAGCTGAGGGTCATGCCTTACAACAGGCATTTTTTGAGATTGGTGGGTTTCCTTCGGTCGTGGGTGCTGTTGATGGCACTCACATTTGCATACAGGCACCACAAGTGCATGAGGAGGTGTACGTTAACCGCCATCTGTACCATTCGATAAATGTACAGTTAGTGGTTGACATCTTTTACCGTATCCGCAATGTGGTTGCTAAATGGCCTGGAAGCACCCACGACTCTAGGATATTCACCGAGGGCTCGTTGTCAGGCAAGCTGGCTGATGGTGTTTACGATGGTCTACTCCTTGGAGACAGCGGCTACACCTGCAAGCCATGGCTGATGACGCCATTCCTGTCTCCGTCATCAGCAGTGGAGGTCGCCTACAATACATTGCATAGCACAACGAGGAGCATCGTGGAGCGGTAAATAAAGCCAAACTATGCGTCCTGGTTCGACAATTCAGTGTTTTGGCACCTTGAGGCACCTAAACTTTTTCATGTGGTTGTGCCTGAGCTTTACATTTGTTGCTAAGGTTAGCCAGCTTTGTGGGAATGAAGTAAGTCAATTCACAAAATTCAACCATTAGCCAGTTAACTCTATATGTCACATTAATTGTTATATTTCATTTGCTCTCTGTTTGAACTCCAGAATAGAAGTTAGAACTTCTCTGAAAGATATCCTTCTGTATGACTGGGTTTATTAACCTACAGGTTTTTACTAGCTGTTTATGCATTTCAAACAATAGCAGTTAACCATTTAAAGCAGTTTGTGCTGTCCTTCATCACTCACCTTGTCATCCTGTCATGGTGCTTCTCCACACAAATGAACGCTATAGTTTTGTGTTTGAGGGACTCCTGCTGTGCAGTTGATGCTAACAAAGGTTTGAACGTATGTGAGAAGGCAATGTTGACTTTGCCCTTTAGTTGGACAGGCTGACAAATTAATCTTGATGTAGTGTTTGCATTGGTATGAATAAAAATGAATCTGCGCTTATGCTACAGAAGTTCTTTTTGTTGCTTCATAATTGACTTTTGACTGCTCCAAGAGCTGCTCCAAAATGACTCAGACCAATCATATCACTGATATCTTTAACAAAATCTGCATATCATTACTATGTTAAAATATTCCAGCAAAAATATAAAATATTAGGCATAATACCATGTTTTCAATGGGCTGGAGCGGTATAGAGATCTCATGCCGACTTCATTAGATATTCTTGTTAAACCACTTCAAAAGGATAACAGATATTGCCCTATTTATACACTGTGCAGGACGATAGGCCAGCTCAAGCGGAGGTTCCATTGCCTCCATGCTGAGTCGAGGATGCAGCCAGAGAGATGCTGCGACATCACTGTCGCCTGCTGTGTCCTGCACAACCTGGCCAAGACATAACCCTGCAGCATGCCAAGAGCTGTCCTCCCCAAAGAGGTTCCCGTCGAGCCCGTGGCAGCGGGCCGTGACGAAAGCAATGAGGCTCGGGACGCCATCATCAGCCAGTTCGTCGGTTGAGCGAAAGTATACCAATATATTGCACATGCTGCTTTGCATGGTCTTGAGTACCAGTGCATTGTACTGGCAAGGTACCCCAATGATGTAAAGTCGTCAAACATTACCTTCTACTACTTATCATCTTCTGTGATAGAGTGTTGATATATAAAACTTTAACATGCTGTACAAGCTTTAGCTATATTCCATCTCACCCGAAGGCTGCCGGGCAAAGCACCAGCTCACAAAAGCTTGCCTCCGCATTGCAAAAAAGTGCGCAAAAGAAATTTCGATATGCCAAGTATGAAGAACACCAATCTTACGCATGTGGTTCTCTGTTGTGATAACACACTATTTTATATTGGTGAAGTAAATGTACATGATATTTAGTTTCATAAATATGAATGCCATATTTCGCAAACATTTCAACTGTTTTGAGAAGTTGGAGGGTGGATTACCTAAGACTGGTTGGTGCGTCTATTGCTCATTCAAGATGCGATTCAAGCAGCGGTCGCATTTGTTCCTTGCAGGTGCATTATGTGACACCATGTTTGGGAGGATAATAAAACCTGTCTTGTGAGATGCATAGTAAATCTGTATCATTTAATTTCAGCACTTACAAATAGAAAGTGAGCATAGTGTCAGGAAACTCTGAAGTAAGCAAGATTTCAGCCTGGTGAGCAAAGAACCTCTTAAGACTGAAGCAAATGACGGCCCTATAGCCCGGAAGCATGTGTCCATGTTATTGAGATTCCTGTTACAGAATTTCATGAATATATTGAAGTAAACTGCACTTGGAATAATGGCAGTTTATTGCGTTTGGTAGCTTGTAATGTCACCTTGTGTCTACTGTGTGAAGGATTGTCGATTGTCCAGAAATCTTATCGGTGGATGCTTTAAGCAGCAATGAGTGCGTGCTTTGGGGGGAATAGAAACGCTCACGAGAACCAGCTTTGTACGGGAAGTACATGAATAAACGAATATGACCTTTCGGGAACCCCACTCAAGGTTTGGCACTGCCAAAGCGATGTGAAAATTGCACAAGGACAGCATCCCCACGTCCACGGGAAGTTGAGATGTATCGCACAAAGACGGCGCACTGGCCGTCGCACGTCTTCTGGCTCGAGTACTGTGTTTAGCTCATGCAGCCTGTTTATAATTGATCGGATGTTTGAATACCAAATGTTGCTACTGCATTAGGTTGGAAGAGAGAGGAATTTTCACCTACGCTGCACGCTGTCCCCTCAGATTACGCTTGACCACTGCTGCCGATTGCCCCGGCGCAGCGGGAACACGAGTACTCTAGCCTATGGTTCAGGGAGATACGAAGATAAATTAGGCAAATGATAAAATTAGCCAGATGATCTTCCGATGAGTACATGCAAGGCAGGCTTTTATTCCTAGCGGCAACCGAGGTGCATACGAGGCTGATGATGGTACGGACAAAGCACACACAAATGAATCAGCAGTCGAGATTCCTTGAGCGTTGTAACTATTTGTGCAGTGACAAGGAACTAGAGCAAAAACCTGGCAAGCAGGCGGAGCCGCTTTTAGTTCTCGATAAGCAGATGGAAAAACTTGGCTCCGCATGACATGTCTTGGCGCGTTGATATGTTTAGAGCAAATATACCACAAGGTTTCAAAGAGGCTCGTGATTGGACCCGGCGGCCTGTAGCATTCGGCTTTAGCCCATTGTAGCACGAGACGGAGTATAGCTGATCTGAATCCAGAAATATATTGACAGTTGCAAGTAAAATGGATTTTATTTCTCAGCAGTTGTGTTGCCTTTGTCATATGTAAACAAATGCAGTCAAAATGAAAATTAAAAACAGCATAATACGTCAATGTTTACTCTTCTCCTAATTGTTTTTTTAACAATTTGATTTCCAACTCTGCACGCTGTGTTTCCAGTTGAATTAAACTTTTTTCGTCCTCTAGTAATTTTTTTTACTGCT